GAGGAAGATAATACTTTAAAGCAATCACAAATAAACTCTTAAAAATGAAAAGCTTCTTTTATTACAGTAAACGGCGCTCTCGGTGGTATATTCAGGCACTTAGCGAGTAACTGGTGCTGCAACTGAAAGTTGACAGAAGATAAGTAGGGGTCTTGCACACTAAAGAAAACCTACCCAATGAGTCACATCTATCCCTGTCTCCACAACACCCCGATTTGTAAGCAGAAAAGTAATTTTGAGTTTTAAAATACAAATCTGAAGGGGGAGAATCTGGACTTGGTGTCATTCACAAGAGCAAAACTCAGCACAGCACCCAGTGGCCAAAAAAACAGTAGAAGGGTTTTGAGTACGTTTTCCCTTTTGAGTCAGACTCTGAATTATTAACCAATTCCGTTTGTGCCGGTCAGGTTTAGGACACGACGCCCGCCCATGCCGACACACGAGGACTGCAGCATACCCCAAGGCTTGCCGTCCTCCAAGGTGTGACCTCGGAAGAAAAGCTCCTGCGAGCTGCCACGCCGCTTAAGCCGCCGTGGCGGCCTCCAGTAAGAGTAGCTGTGCAACTGGAATAGTTTCTTACTTACTAAGGTACTATCTACAGGGTACAGACACACCAAACAAGCACACCGCGTAGTGCCAGAAGTTATTAGTGGAGCCGGTGGCAGAGGGAAGATGACTAGCATACTATTTAGTTTCCCTTCCTGTGCTTTTCGTTCTGCACTGGGGTCAGGGAGATGCCTGGGATGAGGTGAGCTCGCATCTACCTCAAACTGCTTGTGGGAAATGGGGTGAAAGGGAAAACAATGAGGTTTTTGGAGGAAAAAAAGCCCAACCAAGCCTCGCCAGCCTGTAAAGAAGTCCTGAATGGGGACTATTTCCATCTGCAGCCAGGAACAAGTATTTCGCTGCAAGAGGGGGCTCCAGGTATTTTTTTTTTTCTGAGCCAGTTTTCCTCTGCAGCCTACTGCAGAGGCTGGCAGCCAGATCGACTGCCAATTCCCCACCAGGAAAACTAAAGACTGAAGAGAGAAATGAGAATGACCTCAAAGAAAGGCCAAGTGCTCTCCCACTCCCCAAAAACAGGAGAACAAAGGAGGAACTTTTATCATGGAAGAGGGTTTGCCCAAGGACTGATAGATCTCCAGGCATCCTGGAGAGCTGCTGCACTCACAGCACATCTCTCCTGTCTGCAGCCTGCTGGGAAGACAGATTCCCCCTCCACAGCTCGCCAAGACTTTGCTGTAATAATTTTGAGGGTGCAGGTAAAGCTGTGGGGTCTGGGGGGAGTGGGGGGGGGTCAGTGCCAGGCGCTGTTCCGTCGACCACCTCCCAAGCGTGGCACTTCTCCTGGTACACCCCTTCACGCGGAAAGAAATTCGTACCAAAGGCAAATGACATCTATGGCTCCCTCTGTTCCACAGAAATAGCTGCTTGTAAACACAGCTGTGAAAGAGCCTCCTAGCTCAAGTATCTTTAGATATATCACTTCTTTTTACGATTTAGAAAGGAAAAAAACCAGCATTTTCACCACATTGTCTGCTGAAGCTCCCGAAGTGCGCTAGCCGTGTGAAGGAGCCAGACCCCTGGCTCTGCCTTAAAGCTCCTCCAGAATCTATACCTCCCCCCAACCATCTTTTTACCTTTCCCCCCGCCCTAAGAGGAAAAAGCACACAGGTCTCTCTTCCATACTACCCCACATAGGACAGTTTGGCCAACGAAACCTGCAGATTTAGCGAGCCTGAGCAAGTGCCAGCTGGATTCACGCCCTTCCTACTGCCTCTAGTTCCTCTCCATTTCATTTTTCCTCCCATTTTTCCTGCTAGCTTTATTAGCACCTGGGAACCGACGTCTCGCCGTGGGCAGCTTGAGTTTACAGTGCTGAGCTCTTGTTTCGGAGCATCACCAACCCTTTTTCCAGTCCCACCAGTCTCCCACGTACCTGGCACAGCAGAGACGCTCACAACCACGTGACAAAAAGTGTAGTAGGAGCGCCAGGGCTGTTGGTGAACTTAGGAAGAGAGTAAAGGATTGGGGTATCACTGGAAAAGAGCTGTTTTCCTGCAGGTATCGTTTGAGGAAGCTTTTCGCCTGTTCACTGCCCAAAAATCTGACAGTCCCAGTAGGTGACCCCAGCACTGTCATGATGTGTTGGGGGTTAGATCCTGCTTGGAGGGGGAAAACTGGGAAGGAGGAGAGCAGTTCGGATGGTTGGGTTCAGCCTCTGGCACCTGGAAGGCTGCCTCGGCCCCACCAAACCTGCGAACAACCGCCCTTTCCAGCTCATTTTGGAAGCTCCAGCACGCTCCAGGCGCCTGCTTTCACCCAGCACGGCACGGCAGCGCCTCCCTCTTTGGGCTTCTCCTCCTTTCCCCCCCACTGATCCCCTTCCAACACCCTCCAGGCAAAAAAAAAAACCCCACCAAACCAACAAAAAACTAAACACAACCAAAAACCAACTTAAAAAAAAAAAAAAAACAACCAGCCCTGCTTGGAGCTTTCCCCATTCCTCCTCCTGCCCAGGCTTAGCCCTCAGCAAACATCTCTGCCCTCCGGGGCACGGCTGAGCACAAAATAAAGCAAATACCACCCAGGATCAGGCAAGCCCACGCCAGGCACTGGCACGCGAGCGGGATGAGTCACCTCCTGCCTACACCCGGCAGCTTCCCAGAGAGGCAAACATCCACCGCCGGCTCCAGGCCCAGCACGGGGAGCCTTGACCGTGGCGTCCCCCTGCCGTGATGCAAGCTGATGCTCGCCCTTGAAATCCTGCGCTGGGGCTGTCCCCTCGCGGTGGCCGAGACACCACCTGCCCGGTCCCTCACTGCGAGTAAACACCCGAGAGCCAAAATATTTCCCTTTTGGATGGCTAAACTGCCTCTAACAGCATCCTACCTCTCCACACAACGGGCTGTGCTCCCCTCCCTGCTTCTTGCAGCTGGGAAAACACTATTTCACCCCCCAGCCTTGCTCTCCCCGCTTAATTCCTCTTTGCCTTACACCCACGCTGTTCCTCTCTTTTCCTAGGAACGCAGGCATTTCACCGCATTTTAAACATGCGGGGCCGGATCCAGGCCAAAATACCACGCCGGCAGCGTCGCTAACTCCTGCTAGCCCAGGAGCGGAGTGCAGGCAGCGATCTTCTCGGCTCCACTGCCCTCTGCGGGTTTGCACCACCATTTCCAGCCAGATCCCGGGGAAAACAACGGCCACAGATGGTCTCCCAGCTCTGCAGGAAACAGAGGGCCTCGCACCGAGTCGTGCAAGCAGAAAGCCTTTCAGTTTAATCTGGGAGAGAAAACACAGTAAAAACAGCAAGAGGGAAATGTTGCCGCGTTATTTATGCAACACTCGTGTCCCCTGCATGCCACTGGCTCAGTCCTTCTCATCCCGGCAGCAAAAATGCTCTGTATTTCCAAGAGCTCACTACCGATGGGGCAAAACCAGGGGGGCTGCAGCCCAAACCCAGCCCCTGATAACAAGCCAGGGCTAAATAGCAAACGAGCACCCAGCGCCATTGCTTGTTTTATGGCCACCAGCCCTCCCAGGTGCTGGGGTGAGGCACAGCCGGGAGCCTGCGGTCTGGGTCCTGCCTTGCATTTTTTGGGCAAGCCTGATGAAGCCACGGAGCACCCGCTCGGGAGCGAACGTTGGCCTGCGTTATTCAGCTGGCAGCATCCAGCCAGCATCGCAGAGCTATAAATAAGGCCGTTTGGAGATCAACCTGTGCGGGGCCCATGCCGCTGGATCCAAGCACAGCCTGGCCAGCCAAAAACTCACCCGGCAGGATGGAGAAGTATCCGGGAAAGACCTCCCTGCTGGGGAGGAGGTGGAAAGCAAACAACCACCCGCAGCAAGAGTGAGGTTTTTGGGCATAAAAGCCTGGCTTTAGCCTCCGAGAGAGGCAGCAGACACCAAGCGCAGGCTGGGAAAAGCCTCCTCGGCTCAATTTTGTCAGTACAGGATGGTCTCATAGGTGTGGACAGGGAGAAAAATGCAGATAGAGGGATGCGAGGCTCTCCTGCTATCAGAAAAAACAAGTCATGAGAAGCTCCAGACCCAGTAAAAAGTATTTATTTCAGTTACGATAAGCCCCACATGTAGGGTGAAAAAATAGTTACAAAAAAATCCCCCCCCTCCATCCCTCCTTTTACATATAAATATTAAAAATCCCTCTACATCTTTGCTTTCTGTCTAGAGCAAGAAGGCACCCCACGAGACAACACACAGCACCTGAGCTACCGTCAGTGGTTTCCTCTCAAAACCGCAAAAGGAATATTAATAAAAAAACTTGAAGAAAGCCCCTCGCCCCCATCCTGGCCAGGTCTCGCACCAGTGCCAAACCAGCCGCAGAGGGATGGAGGTTTGGGGCTGTGCCATGATTTTGGGGCTTGCAGGTTCCTGGGCATGGAGGCCAGGCACGGCGGCGAGTGAAGCAAGCGGCAGGAACCACCTGCGCTTGTCTGGGGAAGCTTTTGGGCCAGGAAATCACGGCTGACCTCGCTTCAGAGGGGACAGGAGGGAGAACCCGATGCTTCATCCACACCGTCACCACCTTGGTTACATCTTTGGCACGTCAACTTTTCCCTTCGCGCTCCGAAATTAAAGCTAACCCCAGGAGTCGCAGCATCCTGGCAGAGCCTTTCTGTCACCCGCAGCATCCTCCAGACCTGTCCCCCAGGCCCCCCTGTCCCCAATTTCCCCATCAGCATTCTCCGAGGACTGTCCCTCCCAAAGAAACCCGGGATCCGGGGTCAGCTACTTGCATCTGCAGCCCGGGCAGCCCAATCCAGCTTCCCCAGCCAAGGGACTGTCACCACAGGGTGCTGCACCTACAGCTGCATTGAGTAAAAAAAATTAATAAATATACTAATCTTTGACTAAAAAAAAAGGCTTTTAAATGCATTTTCCCTGAAATTTTCCAGTGTATTCTACAACGCATGAAAAAAATATATATATAAAGCAAGAAAAAAATATATATTTTTCCCCCCCCCCCCCAAAAAAAATATATCTTAAAATATTTTCCATCCTCATGTGCGCATCTTTGGAGAGAGGAAGGTACATCAGGTGTATTTAGACACGCAGCCAAACCCGCCTGCGCTGCAGCGTTCCCTTTATCGCCTCTGAAGAAGCTTTTGCCGGGGCGGCGGGTCAGGCTGGAGCACTGCCTGTGTAAATACGGGGTAGTGCCCATGGACGCACGCGCCTCGACACGTGGCCCAGTCAGAAAGAGAAGACCCCCAAATTGAAGTCATTTCACAAACGAGCGAGGGGATGAGGGGTTTTCACAGTGGATCGAACCTCAGACGATACCGGGGACGCGGGGCGCCGCTCCGGCTGAGAGCTGGGCAGTTCGTTGCACAGAGAAGTGGTTTGAGCCTCTCAAAAGAACCGGGGAAATTCAGCCGTCGGCAGAGGACGAAGCAACCGGCAGCTGGTTCCCTCGGGCGCTCGCCCGTCACCAGACTTCGCACTTCTTGCGGGGATTCATGGGGGAGCCGAGGGGGCAGCTGAAATGCTCTGCAAACTCCCGGGAGTTGGAGACGGTGCCGATGACGCGGAAACGCGAGGGGCTGTGGGGGTCGGTGATGAGTCCCTCGTGCGAGCTCTCCGGCGTGCGAACCGAACACCACACCTGCAAGCGGAGGGCGAGAGGCGTGAGCACCAGCATCTGCAACACCATAGGGCACCACTCGGTGCCAAATCAGACCTCCCCGCTTGCGTGATGGGCACCAACACAGCTCGAGCTCCAACTCTGTCCCGCTTTTTAACCAGCACCACCCCGACCTGGTTCTCCATTCACCACGTAGCATCTCTGGCGACGTCAGTTTTGCCGTCACACCCTCCCAACACCACGTGGGCATGCCCGCAGATGCCCGCAGTGCATCCACCCTCGCTGCCCACCACCGAGTGACCTACCTGGGCAAAACCAACAAAGAAGAGCTGGTGGTTGGTGAGGCCGAGGGTCGGGAGGGTTTCCTCATCCCCATTCTTTTTCAGCCAGTTTTGATATGCCTGGAGACCGGGGACCACAGCAGGCTCAGGGGACACCACCGATCCCACCACGCCGTGCCACCCGCCGCATGTCCCCAGCCCCGTGGCCCTACCCGGTAGGCAGCCTTGAGGCCCCCATTGTCAGCGATGTTCTCCCCGAGGGTGTGCTTGCCATTGACGGCCTCGCCGTTGACAGTGTAGTTGCCATACTGCTCCACCATGCATGCTGTCTGATGCTTGAAGGCCTCCACCGAGGAGTTCTTCCACCAGGGACGCAGGTTGCCATCCTTGTCATATTCCCGACCTGCCAAAAACACAGCGGGTCCTTCGTCACCTCAACGACCACCCCACCGGCAGCCCACCTGCCTGGCCCTGGCCATACCTTGGTCATCGAAGGCGTGCGTCAACTCATGGCCCACCACCACGCCGATCCCACCAAAATTCAGTGACCTGCAGGAGGGTGATGCTGAGATTTAAAGAGCAGCTGCTGCTCCCCGCAGCCATGAAATTTAGCCTCAAATTTTGGGATGGGAGGAAATTTGGGAATCCTGCCCTCCTCATTTTCCCTAGGCTCTCACTTGGGAGATGCACGAGTGTAAAAAGGGGCCTGGAGGATGCCAGCGGGGAAGACGATCTCATTCTTGGTGGGAGAATAGTACGCGTTGACCGTCGGAGGCGTCATGCTCCACCTGCGGGGACATGAACGCGGTCAATGTGGCAGCACAAACCCATTGCTGATGTTTGCTCCGACACCATCGGCTTATGACAGTGCAAAGCCGTTGGCCCAAATTTAACTCCCCAAACCCAGCGTGGTCTGGTGGACACCAAACCCCAGTGCTCCAGATATTGTGGTATTCCCCACTGAGCGCAACGGGGAAGCGGAGCGGAGGACTTACTGGTCCCGGTTTGGCGGTTTCCGGAGCTGGTCTGCGGTGACCCTGGCCGAGAAGTTGTAAAACTGCATGACGTTCTCAAAGTAGAGGTCGGACACGGCCTCGTACTGCAGAAGAGCAAGGCGTGAGTGACGCGTGGCGATCGCCTAGCCCCATTCCTTCCTCCATGGTCACGTTTGAGCCTCCGGAGCCAGCCGAGTTACAGCCGCTCTCGTTTCCCCCCCTCTCCAACATCTGCGGAGTCTCGGGAGGGCAATGAATCACCATTACGGAAACCGGCTCCTCCTTTTCCCGGGCAGGAATCCCGAGAGCCCCAGCCACCCCAGGACTGGCCCGCAGCTCTCTGGGAAGTCCCCGGAGAAGGGCCAAGGACATCGGTGAGACCCTTCTAGAGAAAACCTGGGGTTCAAAGCTGCCCTGAGGCCATGGTGATGGACCCGTGTCCCACACACGCTAGTGGAGGGGGGAATAGGAGACCCAGGGGACATATCCGACCAACTCACGTCATTAAAGACTTTATCCAGCTCCTTGGGGTCCATGATGAACTTGGGGTAGCCGATCATGTTGTAGATGGCATCTGCCTGGGGAGTGACAAGGACCAAAGTGCTTTTGGTGCCAGGGATGAAAGGACAGGCTCGCCCAGCTCCGCCACCATCACCTTCTCCTCCCTGGTGCTGCTGCCAGCGCCTCACCTTCTCTTTGGCCGATTTCCTCGTCTCTTCGTCCATCCACTGCAGGGTCTCCAGGCTTTCCTCGAAGGCTGTTTTAATCTCTGTGATCATTTCCTCTGCCTAGACAAAACGAGGTGGTGCAACGTTGGTCCGGAGAGCCAGCTTCCCACCTCGGAGAGGTCAAGGACCCTTCGCACCAGTGGGCAGGAAGAGGCTGGGATGCTGAGACGGCATGCGGACCGGTGAAAAACCCAGTGAACAGAGATGCACGGTAGACAAAGGGTGGGCAGAGAAACATTGGCTGCCCCAGCCAGCCACCATCGTGGCGGCTCACGCACTGCTTGCTTGGGGACGTACCACCTGTTTGCTGTCCTCGGCGAAGGTGGCCTTGACGAACATGGCCCCTAGGGCGAAGCCCAGGTTGTTGTCCGTGTCGCTGATGCAAAACTTCCAGCGCGGGAGGCAGGTCTGCATGAGACGAGAGGTGGTCATCAGCAGTGGCACAGCCGAAGCCCCCCCCCTTTCCCCCCCCTTTGCCTTGCCGGGGGTTGGGTTCCCCTTCCTTCCCCCTGCACCAGAGCTGCCACCCTAAAACCTGCCCGACATCCCTATTTTTTGGATGCAACGCGATGGGGAGTTTGCTTAAAAAGCTGTCACCATTTTAATGGTGATTTGGGGGCATCGGGGGCTCCCCCTCACCTTCTTCGTCCCATACATCACTTCCATGAATTTTTCCTCGGCGTCCTGGAAGCGCTGGTCAAGGAAGGGGCTGGTTTTCCGCACCAGGTTCCAGATCATGTAGTTGTTGAGGAGACTGCACCGAGAGGTGGTAAGTGGGCAGCGGGACGTGCCTGCCCACACCGGGCACCCCTCTGCGCAGGCTGGGGGCTCTCACCATTTATCCGTGGCCAGGATGAGGTCGGAGACCTGTTCCAGGTACTCCTTGGCGTAAACCACGACAGGCTCCGACTCGTTGAGCTCCACGGGGTAGAAGACCGTGGTGAGGAAGGGCATCCAGTCCACTGCCGGTGCCAGCTCCTGCAAAAGCCATGCCACTGCCATGGATCCGAAAACCATTGGAGGGGGGTGGCAGCCGCTTCCCGAGCTGGAAGCTGCCGCATCAGCCCCTGGTTTGAGGGATTCGGATGATTTTGCAAAGACCGGTTCCCATAACAGCAGCATCCTCCAAAGGTCAGAGTGGAGTAAACAATTTCCTCTCGCAAAGGAAAAGAAAGTGGGGCGGGTGTCAAAAATGTTGACACAACCCATTAGGGCCCCTTTGGGGACACAGGGAGGTGACTGGGCTGACGTCCGCAGCCAGACTGAGGGCAGCAGCGCTGGGAGGGTGTTAGTGCCGCGGCGGGACGGCCACCGGCCCCAGGGGTGGTCCGGAGGCTGGTGGGAGCGGGTCAGGGTGGGATTTCCCCAAGGAGGACACGGGCCAAGCTATTGCACAAGAGCTTCCCAGGCGGTGTTTGGCTGATGTTGGGCTTCCTCGGAGGAGCTGCGTCACCTCCACCCCAGCCCCGCTTCCCAAACCACAGCGGAGCAGGGAGGCTCGCCAACCCCATCCCTACCTTCAGGTCTCCAGCTGTCATTTTATGGTAGATGACCTCCTCGTCCCGGTGCTTCTCCTGCGGGATGGTGATGTTGGCCAATGCCGTCTCGAAGTCCAAGATCTGCTGCATCTGCTGCCGCGTCGACTCCTCGTCGGTGCCTCCCAGGAACATCCCCAGCTGCACCATGTAGTTCAGGTACCCGGCGAGCACCTACGTGGTGGGATGGGGGAGAGATCAGCATGGTGGGTGCCACTCACCCACAGCACCTCCCCAGCAAAGCTAGATTTCCCCCGACGACCTTACCTTCTCATTCTCCGTCTTGTTCAGATAGTAATCCCGCGACGGCAGGCCTAACCCCGACTGATCCACCTGGATGACATTGCTGTTGGAGTTTTTGGAGTCGGCGCTGACGTAGACGGAGAAGAAGGGCGAGGTGCGGTAGTGTGCTGTCACCTCCCGCAGCGTCGCGTTGAAGTTGTCCCCTGCCCAGGGACCCGTGATGTTCCAGCCGCCCAGCTGGAGACAGACAGCAACCAGCTTTCAGTTAAGGAATGACCATCTGGAGTTGCTAACTATCCCCCCAGTACCCATCCTGGGGGGGAAAATATCTTGCAACGGAGCTAAAAGGTCCAGGAGAGGCAAGACCTGCCTATAAATCCCTGCCTCTCTCTGCCCGCCTGCCCTGGGGGATGCTCTTCCCTGGGAAGCACCGGGAATGGGGTCTGGAGGGTGCTGGGACTGCCCATAAACGAGGGGTTTTCCCCCATTTTGCAGAGGGAAGAGAGCTTTTCCGCAAGGAAGGGGACGAACCTTTTGGATGAGCTCCGTGAGGGGGGTGGCGCGCAGCTCCTCGATCTTGCTCTCGTTCATGCAGGCCTGGTAATAGCGCTGCGCCTTGCGCTCCGCCTCGCTCGACACGTTGGCCGTGGTGTTTTCTGGGGGAGGTACCCAGGGGGGGCTCACAGGGGGTCCCTGGGGTTGGGCACCCGTCCCCCTGCGGGGCTACCAATGCGCACCGGAGCCCCCACCCTTCCACCGGACAAATATTCAGCCCTGTTTTGGGCAAAGCCAGGCTCACCCCAAGAGCCTCCCACGGTTCCCAGCCCTTCCTGGCCTCCTGCCCCCATCTCCCCTCCCCCCCGCAGCCACTGCTCCGGCTCTTTGGAGCAGAAAGATAAAGAAAGAAAAAACAAAAAGCATTTTTCCAGCAGCTCTGATGTTCCCAGCATCACCCAGCCCCCTGCGCTGCCCTTGCCCCCGTGCTGGCGCTCCCCAGCCCCATATTATTTATTCCTGCAAGAAGGAACAATAAACCCATCTGTCTCCTTCGCCTGCACTCAAACCCCCCGCTTTGTTGGTGTGTCCCCCCCCCCCCCCCCCCGTAAATTCTGCTTACCCAGAGGTTTTTGGGGGTTTTGTTGGGTTTTTTTATTTTATTTTCCTCATGACACAGCTTGCACCTTTGGCTTCCCAGCTGTGCTGTTTTTATTAACTAAAGGTCCCTCGGCTCCCAGGAATTCAAGGAAATGCCAAGCGCGACCGCTTGGCTGGAGGCCCGGTCCCTTCTCCTGGTAAAACCAGCACCAGATTTCTGCGGGAAGAGCCGGGGACGAAGCCATTCCCGCGCCACCCCCCTTCTCCCGAAGGAGAACACTCTTCCCAAACCTTCTCTTTTCAGATAATCGGCCCCGGCGCAGTGGAAAGTGCTGATAAGGAGCCAGTTGTTTGCTCAAAGCTTGAACAAACCATCCCCGCTGGTTGCTCGGATAAGCACCCTGCTTCAGCGTTCGCACGCATGGGCTGAGCCCGGGATCATCCCTCCGCTGGGGGAGTTTTGGCCCCAAAAAATGGCCAGATTGGCAGCCAGCCCCCCAAAAAGACTGTTCACAAAGGCTGGAAGCTATAGTAGGAGGGGACAAAAAAAAAAAAAAAAAGAAATATCCTTGGGATCCTTGGGGTGATACTGGGGTGCTATGGCCTCTGGATGTAGTCTGGGGTGCAAATCCTGAATTTCAGAGCTCCTGGGAACGCCGCCATGGGGTTTGCGGAGCAGAGGCCGGGACCCTTCCCCTACTTGGTGCCGAAGAGCTGCAACACTGCGGTCAAAAATCCCAGGGGCATCCAGGAGAGCAAACACAGCCAGGATCTGCTTCCCAATGTCCTTGCAGCGCATGCGTCACGGATTGGTTTGACGCTGGGGTTTAAGTCCAACCTTACATCCCCTCGGGCATGTTTTCAGCATCCCCCGGACCTAACGGGGCTCCTCAGCACCGTGGGGGTCCCACCGCTCCCGTGTACTCACCCAGCAGATGCTTCATGATGGCCTGGTTGTGCTCCCAGAGGTTGTTGAAGGTGCCCCAGCGCGAGTGGCCGTCGGGGAGGGGGTTAGCCTTGATCCAGCCCCCGCAAGCGTAGCCGAAAAAGTCCTCGCAGGGATTCACCGCCCGGTCCAGCGAGCTGAGGATGGAGCTGGTGACGGAGATGCAGGCTTCCGACAGGCACACTGCGGGTGGCCCTGGGGGTGGGCACGATGGGTTCCGCTCCTCCGCCACGGAGCGATGAGCCGCACCGGGGAGCATCCTGCCCTACGCCCGAGCATCCCACCCCGGGGTGAGGGATGTGGGCAAATATCCCATCTGGTGCCGGAGCATCCCACCCCGTACCGAAGCATC